ATGACATGAGACAAAGTATATGTGAACTGCTGTATGAAAAGTGAATTTACTCTGTAAATCTTCACCCAAATCCTAATAAAAAAAAAAAAAAGAATTTGAACCCAGGGCTTCTGCCTCCAAGCCCTGTGGTTTTTTTTGTTTTTGTTTTTGTTGTAGTTGTTATGTGCTGTGAGTTCTTTCTGAGTCACAGAGGCCCTATATTACAAAGTAGAACTGCTCTGTGGGGTTCCCTAGGCTGTATTCTTTACAGGAGCAGACTGCCAGGTCTTTTGTCCCATGGAGCAGCTGGTGGGTTCAAACTACAGACCTTTTGGTTATCAGACAAGCACTTACCCATTTAATCACCAGGGCTCTAGCCCTGTGCTTTTGAGAGGACCCCAGTCTGCCTCCAGATATGCTCATAAAATATAAGAATCTTATATGTTTGGACTTTTTATTTTCATCTCAACTAGTTCTTGATACAATTCCAGACCCAGCATAAACCCAGATGAGGATAGGGTTGTCTCTGCTCAGAAAAAATTAAGGGACAATTGCATTTTTAATGATTTCCTTGGCATGTTTAATAAATTAAAGGGCATTTAGCTATTTCCATGAGCAATTTCAGTACCTTTTCCATGAACTATAAATTATATATTTCTAAAACTGAAATATATACTTTTGTCATAAATGTCTCAGTTTAATGTCTTGAGTAGCTAAGAATGCTTTTTTTTGAAAATTCATGTTGGAACATGAACTTTTATGAGCCCGAAGTTTCCCCCAGGGAAGTGGTTCTTCCTTTCATTTATGGATCTAAAAAATGATATGGCTCCTTTGCTCCAGAATTCTGAAATGTGTGCTACACTAAGTCAGTGCTGCCCACCATTGCAGGGAGTTCTTCGATCCCATTAAATCCCCTGTTCTATGGCCTAATGACATGTTTAGTGCTTCTGTTCTGCTAGCTCATTGCATGGTGCCTGGAATCTTCAAAGCTTGCAAACATCCATACAAGGCACAACAAATGATCTCTATTCTCCTGGAGTAACAGAGGAAGGGGGAGAGTCAGGAATAGGAGGAGGAAATGGAATGTGTGGTTAATTGCCTCTGTAAACATCTGCCTCCTTTGCCATGAAACCAGAACTAGATGATGCCCTGCTACCATCACTGAACATTTTGATCAAAGATTCTATAGAAGAATCTTTGATCAAAAGGAGAAAACGCAGAATATGATTTCAAATTCTCATGGACTCCAGACTATGTGGAGCCACGGAGGCTGGATGAACCCCTAAAACTATTGTTCTGAGATAATCTTTAAATCTTAAACCGAAAAGTATACCCTGAAGTCTTAAAACCAAACAGTAGTTTAGTTTAACTAATAAAGAATGTCTGCCTTGATCATTGTGCACTTTTAAGATTTATCTTAAAAATATATGGGGTCAAATTGACAACAGTAACTTCAAAGATTGGAGAGGAAACTTGGGGGGGGCAGTAAGTTTGTTAATGAGAGAAACAGCTCAAAGAAGGAAGGTGAGAATGGTTGCACAACTCAAAGAATGTAATGAATGTCACTGAATTGCACAAGTAGAAATCATTGACCTGGTATGTGTTCTCCTGTGTACATGATCACCAAGAACAATAAAAATGAAGTAAGAGAAAGCAAAAACCCTGTTCTAGGATGTGATACTCCTTATATGCATGCTTACTTCAACTCCCAACTTTCTGTAGGTCCTGCTTCCATTGTGCAGTTGCAAGCATGAAATGAAGAACAGGTGGAACATATTGTCATTTACTCTCTGTATGACTTTGGAGTAAAACATGGAGATTTTGAATTATCATTATTATTCATGACTCTTCAGCCAGTGTATCAATCTGCAAAGATAACCTAAAACCAAACCAACTCCACTGCCATTGACTTGATTCCAACTCATAGCAACCCCATAGAACAGAGTAGAACTGCTCATCTTTCTACTGCTGTACATTCCAAGGCTGTGAATCTTTACAGAAGCAGATTGTCACATTTTTCTCCTGAGGAGAAGTTGGCAGGTTCAAACCACTGACCTTTTGGTTAGCAGCTAAGTGCTTTAGCCACTATATCACCAGAGCTTCTCCTGCAAATATAACACATCCCCCGAAGTTTCATAATTTATTTTGTCATAGAAATGATGGACAAGGAAGAAGATGTGATAACTGGGTTTTTTTTTTTTTCAATTAAACTGCTAACATAGAGGGGGAAAAAAAAAAAGAACAGATGGAAATATTGAGTTCCTGAGCTAAGAGTCATTAAAATTTGTTTCTCCTAAAACTGCTACAATGATTTTAATATAAATTAAAAGCAACCACAACTACAGATCCCTAAAATGGATGCTTGTGTGATTTAACTGTGATTGATTTAACCATCCTCACATGAATGGAGGATTCTCTGGGTGGTACAAATGGGTGGTTCACTTTGACTACTAACCAAAAGGTTGGGATTTTGAACTTGCTCCATCACTTTTCCTCTGCTTGGCATAATTTAAATTCCTTATTTCCCAGAGCAGGCAGACTTAGTTCACCTTTTCATTGCTGGTACTAGTTGTCTCAAGTTAGTCTTCCAAAGAACTTCCTTCAAATGGCAAAAAGGGAGGTCAAGGAAGTGAGGAGTTATAAACATGGAAATTCAGTTTCAAACAACTAATGTTTTCAACCAAATTAAGAGTTAAAAAGTCAATTTCCAAAAATAAAGGCAAAGAAAATATGAAATGAAATTCACACTATAAGGACTTCAAAAGCTTAGGTGAGAAGCTTAAGGAGCAGTGAATTTATGTTAATAGTGAAGGAAAATTTGGAAAAGGATCGTGAAAATGGTTGCACAACTTGAAGAATGGAATCAATGTTACTGGATCATACATGTAGAACTTACTGAATTGGTGTATGTTTTGCTGAGTATATTTTCACCACAAAAAATAAATATATAATTAAAAAAAAAAGTCTCTCTAGGACTAAAAATCAATCCAGTTTACACAGATTGTGTATTATTTACAAATTTATAAAAGTTTGAGAAGAACATTCTGTGTCCTACCAGAGCACAGTCACTTGGACATTCCAGAACCTTCAGTTACAGATTTAGTTTTTAAAACCATGACTACAGCAAATAAGGTTGTGTAGAAACTTGTACATGATAAAGAGTGAATCTACAGGCAAATAAATTATCTTAGGTTTCCTTTTATTAGCTAGCTAGGGTGAGTACAAGCTAAGATAAGCCAACTTCAGAAGAGAGGGCAAGTAATATTTTCTTTGCTCCAGTCAATACCTAAAGGAATCTGGTAGGTAAAGACTCACTCTAATCATAGGTCTTGACATCTCCTCTTAACATTATGCAGTCAGATGTCCAGCAGAAGCTCCGAGGAAGAGTAGTTTACTTAGCTGTGACTCTTACCAATTTCCTTCCAAGTCTTAGAAGATTAATAGTTAATAGTTAAGGCTAAGTGATGAAGGCAGATTTTTATACCTAGTACATACCTGTGGCAGTTTCATGTCATTAATGTCCCAGTTTAATATCTCCTTGTCCTCAAAATCAACATCGTCTGGTTCCATGATAAGGTCAGGTCACCCACTGGATTTCGTCTATTCAACTTTCCTCAGAAATGTTTGAGAATTTTGCTCTCAAAGGCTTTAATACGGCCAAGATGAGCCCACTCATGCAGCTTAGACAGGCAGACTGTTTTCTGATGCTAAAAATAAATAATAGTAATACCAACTGTTAAAAAAGATAAAAATTAGTAACAGTCAGCCAGAAAAACCTATAAAATCGATATTTTTGCAAACATCAACATACTCATGAAAAACAAAATGTAAACGATGTTCTCAATCTTGCTGGAATAAAGCCTGACCATCAAGTATCAGAGGAGTTCCTAGATGGTGGAAATGGTTAACACATTCACCTGTTAACCAAAGGGGTGGAGCCTCAAGTCCACCCAGAGCCACCTCAGAAGAAAAGCCTGGCGATCTACTTCCAAAAAAAGTCAGCAATAAAAGCCTAATAGAGCACAATTCTACTCGGATGCACGTGGGGTCGCCAAGAATGGAGAAGGACTCAATGGCAACCAGTATCAGGAATTAGAAGCATAAGGATCCCAGCTTTGCGCTTCAGGTTTGGGTTTCCTTCAGCACTGCTAGGACTCAGCTTGTTAAGGCCTCAGTAGGGATGGTTGTCACTTGTAGCTGTAAATATGTGTCAGGGTGAGGGAAAGCTTGTTTGGAATTATTTCCACGGAAATGCTTTCATAAATGAGCTAACGTGTGGTTGAAGTTGTAAGAAGGAAACATCACAACCAGATGCAAAACATAAAAGTATTTTTTTAAAACCCAAATTTCCATAGTGATTAATTTTGGTCTCCTCAATAAACCCCATGTGTGCTTTATGTCTTTATATAACATTTGACATTTTGAGTCAAATAATACTTCGCTGTGGGGGCTGTCCCGGGCATTGTAGAATGTTTATTTAGCAGCATCCCTAGCCTCCACCCACTAAATGCTAGCAGCACTCCCCACACCCAGTGGTGAAAATAAAAAATGTCTCCAGACATTGCCAAGTATCTTCTGAGAGGCAAAATCACTCCAACAGTTTGAAAACTATTGTTAGTTGCCGTCAAGTCTATTCTAACTCATAGTGACTCCCTGTGTGCAGAGGAGAACTGCTTCATTGTATTTTCAAAGCTGTAGTGGCTAAGACAGGAGCTCTGGTAGCATAGTGGCTAAGACAGGAGCTCTGGTAGCATAGTGGCTAAGACAGGAGCTCTGGTAGCATAGTGGCTAAGACAGGAGCTCTGGTAGCGTAGTGCCTAAGGCACTTCACTGCTAACCAGAAAGCTGGCAGTTCCAACCCACCAGCCACTCCTGGGAAGGAAGGTTGGGAATCTACTTCCATAGTGATACTGCCTGGGAAACCCAAGGAGGGGTCACTAATGAATCAGGTCCTACTCGAGGACACATAACGACAACAACAGTGCCTAAAGCAATTAATTGACTGTGATCCAGAAGACTAGAAGTTCAAACCCACCAGCCACTCCTCGGAAGGAAGACGGGCAATCTACTTCTGTAGTGATAAAAATATACCACCTCAGAAACCCAAGGAGGGGTCGCTATGAGTTGGATCCAACTTGATGGCAGTGAGTTTGGTTTGGTTTTGGAAACTTTTGGAAGAAAATCATCAGGCCTTTCTTCCAAGGCACCTGTGCATGGGTTTGAACTGCCAACCTTTAGGCTAGCAGTCAAGTGCATAACTGTTCGCACCACCCAGGGACTTAGTTTGAGAACTACGACTCTAAAAATCCAAACCACCCATCAAGCCTTTCTAGCCTCAGCAAATCTTACTCTTCCTCCACCCCAAAGAAGATTTTGTTTCAATTTACCTTCTTTAAATTATATTATGCAAACAATAACAAATTAAAAAAAAAAAAATCCCGTTGCCATCAAGTCAATGCTGACTCATAGCGACCCCCATTGAGTTTCCAATCTTCACAGAAGATGATTGCCTCATCTTCCTCCCAGAGAGGAAGCTCCAGAGTGGAGCAGTTGGTGGGTTTGAACATGTAACTTTCTGGTTAACACTCAAACCTTATGCACTGCACCATCAGAGCTCCCTGTGCAAACAATATACATTCAAAAATGTTTGTTCAACAAACTGCATTTTCTCCCATGAGAAATACTGCTCTAACCTCTAACTATAATTGGCTAAAGAGGATTTTTAAAATAAATTCAAGAAGGGAAATTGTAAATGTTCTACTCTGAAAGAATGGGCCATGGATGGCGCAAGTGGCTAAGCACTCAATTGCTAGCCAAAAGACTGGCAGTTCAAACTCACCACGGGTTTCTTGGAAGACAGGCCTAGCGATCTGCTTCTGAAAGGTCACAGCCTTGAAAACGCTGTGGGGCAGTTCTATTCGCACACATGGGGCTGCTATGAAGGTGAATTGATTCAACAGCAACTATAACAACGCTGGGAAAAAAAAAAACCTAATCATTTTGTGAGTGAATGCACTCATTAATAGGCTATGAAGCAAAACACGTTTACATGCATAACATTTCCGTTTGCTGGTACTCTGATAAAAGGGACATGGCGATGTCTTAATAGTACACACAGACTACAAGCTAGGTTAATAGTCTAAACCTCAAAGTTCCATGATCGCTGTTGCTTAGTTTTTGGGCTTGGTTCTGTATAGCTCATGGAGCTCTGGTGGCATAGTGGAAAAGGCATTTGGCTGCTCAGCGAAAGGTTGGTGGTTCAAACCCACCAGCTGCTCCACAGGAGGAAGCTGAAGCACTCTGTTTTCGTAAAGATTTACAACCTTGGAAACCCAAGGGGGGTTACTATGAATCGGAATTGACTCAATGGCAGTGGGCATTGTATACCTCTAATATTTGTCAATCATTAACATCTACTAGTGAAAGTAAGAAATTTTCATGAAAGTAAGAAACTAGTGAAAGTAAAAGTTATGTTATCTTTAATATTGTTTCTGGTATAGTCTTCTGGCAAATAAATGCACATGAATTTAATATTTTCTAAAAATTAAGATAAAAACAGAAGAAAAAAAAAAAAAGAGAAAGAGAGAGACTTTTACAGCATTTAAAACATAAACAAATAAACTCAGTTTTCCTCCAGGATTAAAAATTTGAATTTGTCAAGACTTTTTTTAACGCAACTCAGACCAAAGTATATTGAGTTTTCATCATTTCTGCAGAATACAAACTGGAACAAGGGAAACCCAGCAGGAGTGGCATAGCCATTACTGTATCCCTCACATTTGCCCCTCCCTCGGATCCGACTTGATGGCAGTGAGTTTGGCTTTTTTGGTTGGTTGGGGTTTCTGGCTTCCTTACCTTCTGGCTTCTTATATAGGCTTCTAAGACAATACCATGCCATAAAATCTCATCTCTGGTTCAGGTCCCAGCAGGCTCTGGTTACTTCTAAGCAGAAGCTGCTATTGCCTGTTCCAGGTCAGGGTACACTATGCTAATGAGCTCTGGCAACAGTCCAATCAAAATTTACACACTCTCAGCTCAGGATAGATAAGTACAACCTAGGGAGTCACTTAACAAGTCTCTTTTCTCTCAGAATGCCAGCAATGTGATAAATAATTCTAGGTTGTGCTTCTGAACTTTCCTCTCCTTATGTGCAGAGGGCATTTTAACTGAAATGGACATAAAAAGGAACCTCATAAGGATGTACATATGTTTCTCTTAATTTCCTAGAGTCATAGGTTGGATTCAAGGCAGATTGATTCACAACAGATTCCAATTCTTCCACTGTTTACCCTGCCCGTGTGGAAAACAGACAAGACAGACAGAGGTAGGGAGATATGGTGGTAAATTGCACTGGAATAGATATCAGATAGCCACCATCTCCTAAATCAGGAAAAACAAAATGCTATCCCACCCCTAACATTGATGCTCCACTTGTTTTGAGTATTCCAATCTCCCAAAATAATCCAATTGCTTTTCCCCCAAGGCTGTGCATTAGAATTTTCTGTCCCTTCTGACCTACAGCCTGACCTACAGAATTTCCAAATTAGAGGTAAAGGGATTGCTCTTTCATCTCTAGATGCCAAGCTGTAAGCCCAACCTCAGGGCTGCTGATGGCCAGTTTTGCCATCATGGTGGAGTCTGAAAGAATGAAGTCAGCATGGGCTCAAGAAGCAGAGGTGAAAAATGGACCAAGGGAGAGGGAGGAGAGAGACCTGATGATGAGGTTTGAGCCTCTGGGTAAGCTGAGGCCGGCTCCCATCTTCTTCTTTCCAGTTATGTGACTTTTATGCTTCAGCTTGTTGGAGTTAAGGAGCCCTGGTGGCCCAGTGGTTAAGTACTTGGCTGCTAAACAAAAGTCAGTGATTTAAACCCAACAGCCCCACTACAGGAGAAAGATGTGGCAGCCTGCTTCCATAAAGATTACAGCCTTGGAAACCCCAAGGGGCAGTTCTACTCTGTCCTAGGAATAGAAATTGAGTCAATGGCAACAGGTTTGATTTTTTTTTTTGAGTTGTATGTCTGCAACCTGCACCTATTAGAGCTCTGGTAATACATCACCCATTCTCCTGCTCTTGGTAATCCTGAATTGATCTCAAACTTCAAAACAAACCACTCTCAGAAAGAGGGAGTTGCTGTCTAGGGGACAGTTTACATTAATGATGGTGGAATAGGTTGTAAAAGGATAGTGATAATGGTTGCACAACATGAAGATTGTAATCAATGTCATGTGAATTAAGCATGTAGAAAGTGTTGAATTGCCAAATATTTTATGTGTATTTTTACCATAATGTAAACAATAAATAAACCACTGTCCTTTTCATCTGTGTTTCTAAAGATGGATCACCAAAATGACTTGTCAGATACCCCTTCAAATAAAATTTAAAAATTCTTCACAATGTCTCAGTGTGTAAGACACAGTGTAGTTGCTGTCAGCCCTGTTAGGCATTCACCCAGCACATATAGTTTTTAAACTAGGTAACCAAGGGGACTCTCAGGCAACACTTCTTTGTGCTGTACAAAACTCATCTTTGGATAGTTCCTTTAGGTTTCTCAAATTCTAAGCCATTTTC